GTAGCTGGGATTACAGGCACGCACCACCATGCCCAGCTAATTTTTTGTATTTTTAGTAGAGACGGGGTTTCACCATGTTGACCAGGATGGTCTCGATCTCTTGACCTCGTGATCCGCCCACCTCGGCCTCCCAAAGTGCTGGGATTACAGGCTTGAGCCACCGCGCCCGGCCAATAGGTCAGTTTTAAGCTGAGTCAGGTTTGCACCCGCCTTGGTCAGGGAGGGATCTTACACTTTGAGAGCCTGAGTCTTTGAATGCTGTTGGAATGGCTGTCACCAGCGCATGGGTTGATCAGGGCTTTCTTCTCCCTGCAGTTGTGGCCCCATCAAAGTGAAAACTGAACCCACAGAAGATTCTGGTACGTACTTGCACTTCTAGAATCAATCGTGAAATGAAGGAAGACTTTTCCTTCATGTAGAAGGTTATATTTTGACTCAATTATTGTTTCGTTTTGATAAGAAACAGGCAGTCGCTTTAAATGTATTCCAACTGTGACGCTATTTGTTAATGTTATCACATTAAGACCCAGAAAGGTAATTTGCCCACTAAGTGGCAGGCAGAGTTCTTTGCCAGCTACGCATGCGTATAGATAAAACGTATTGTCTTTTTCTTCCAGTTACACAGACATATAGTGTAAGAGGTCAGCTTTCCGTAGTGCTTTTTACAAAAATCAGTACAACGCCCTCTTCGTCTCCCCCTTCCCTCTGCACTCCCATTTTCCACTCTCCAAGGAGACCATTTTCAATTCTCAAAGAAAATTGATATTTAATTCCTTATTTATTTATTTTTCTTTTGAGACAGTGTTGCTCTGTCACCCAGGCTGGAGTGCAGTGGCTTGATCTCGGCTCTCTGTAACCTCCGCCTCCTGGGCTCAAGTGATTCTCCCATTTCAGCCTCCTGAGTAGCTGGGATTACAGGCATGTGCCACACCACACCTGGCTAATTTTGTATTTTTAGTAGAGATGGGGTTTCACCTTGTTGGCCAGGCTGGTCTCGAACTCCTGACCTCAAGTGATTTGCCTGCCTCGGCGTCCTAAAGTCCTGGGATTATAGGCATGAGCCATCGCTCCTGGCCCACTGCTTATAATTCTATTCTGTCTAGAACCATGGCTCCCAGATGTTCTCATCGTATTTACTTATTCATCATTTCCCCAGTGTTATCCCATGTCCCAGTGCCACCGTCAGTCCTCCCACTGCTTGGCCCTGGCCCCCTTACTCACATGGGATACTTCTTAGTGGGCTGTCACCACCTGCCTGTCCCCTTGTCTGCCTCTGTCTACCCAGGCCCTTGGCGGCTTCCCTGACCCCTGTCAACCTTCTCATTCTGCTGTACCTCCTGGGCAGCCACCTGCCCGGCTTGGCCTCATCTGAGGGCATCTGGAATGAATCTTTGGGGAGGAGGGAAGGGCCGCGTTTACGTGTGTGCATGTGCGTATGAATGAGAGCTTTTATTTATGTAAGTGTATTCTGGGAGAGCTACAAGAAAGTGTTGAATTATCCTTTTTTGGAAAAGGTATTTGAGTCTTTTACACTGTTGGCTTGTTTTACAGAAGGTTTTTCTTTCTTCTTTCTTCTCACTCCATAGGAAATCTCAAATTTCTGTGTAGTTTTTAGCAGATTGTGCCAAAAAATCATCATTTTGCAAATTTTCCCCCTTAATTCATATATTCATCTCCTGAATATTTTGTTTGCCTCCAAAAAGAAACATGCTGAATTGAGAAACCTCATGTATTTAATCAAATCATTTCAACTGTCATTATGTACACATCGGCATCATATAGGTTTATTTTTTCTCTTTCACGCTTTGCATCTTTATATTCTTAAATTTATCCTGCAAATAAGATTTTATTTTATTTACATGTATAGCCAGGGTGCAGTCAGGAGACAGAAACCATATCAGTTATTGGAACAGAGAAAATTTAATATAAAGATTGTTGGCCGGGCTTGGTGGCTCACACCTATAATCCCAGCACTTTGGGAGGCCGGGGTGAGTGGATCACCTGAGGTCAGGAGTTCAAGACCAGCATGGTGAAACCCGTCTCTAACTAAAAATACAAGAAATGAGCCATTCGTGGTGGTGCGCACCTGTAATCCGAGCTACAGGGGAGGCTGAGGGAGGAGAACCGCTTGAACCCAGGAGGTAGAGATTGCATTGAGCCAAGATGGCGCCATTGCATTCCAGCCTGGGCAACAAGAGCTAAACTCTGTTTCAGGAAAAGAAAACAAGATTTTTAATTAGTTATAAAGTTGTTAACTTTGTAACCTAAAGGCGAATACTAAGGTTTCCTGTAAGGAACAGTTCTTGGCTGTGACCGCCACCCCGTCAGCTTTCAATCTGACTTCCGAGGTGGGATAGTGTCTGGCTGGTGCTGGTGGTGTTGGAGACCTTGCCAGCTGCGTGCGGTTGTGATGAGAGGACCTGCTTTTGCCAGGCTGAACGGGGGACCAAGGAGTGACCTTGTTGGGATGAGAATGCAGACAAGAAGCCAAAAGGAAGGGCGAGATCCCTTCTCCTCTTCCAGCCTGTTGTCTCCCTGTAGTGTATCCTCGTGGCAGAGACTCACACGGAGCCAGCCGCTGTGCAGAGCTCAAGCTTCAGCAGAAAGCCGAGGATGGGTTTGCAACGGAGAGACATCAGTTTCATGGCTGGCCCAGGCTACCCTCTTGGGCTACTCAGCATATATCCACACCCTTCCCTGCACACTTCACGTTCTGTACAACAACGAGACAGCTGTTCATCTAATGAGATGCAACTTTACTTTCTACAAAGAAATCCCTTTTTACCCTCTCCTCAAAATTGGGAGACACAATTTTCCAACAGTCACACCCATCTCTGGCAGACTGACTTGAAATCCATTCTCGAGCTGTATTGCCTACTCTTCAAATGCAGTCCTAACCTATTTGAGTTATCTGGTCTAATGGACAAATGGAAAAGAAAGCTCCAAACAAACTAATGTGAAATACTACTGCACAGAAGAGAATAGTTAATATATGCAGATGCTTAATCTTTACACAAACACATTTGTAACAGACAAGGAAGAAAATAGGCACAGTTGCCTCAGCCTACATTTCTGCAGCTTACCAGACTTTTTTTGGATTTACCTTGTTATTTTTATTTTATTTATTTATTTATTATTTATTTATTTAATTTTATTTTTTATTTTAATTTTTAAAATTTTTTTATAGAGATGGGGTTTCACCATGTTGGTCAGGCTGGTCTTGAACTCCTGACCTCAGGTGATCCATCTGCCTTGGCCTCCCAAAGTGCTGGGATTACAGGCTTGAGCCACCATACCCAGCCTTATTTATTTATTTTGAGACAAGGTCTCACTCTGTCACCCAGACTGGAGTGCAGTTGTGCCATCTCAGCTCACTGCAACCTCTGCCTCTNAAATACTGCTAGATAATTATTTAGGTGAGTTTATTGGAGAGAACTTTACTGAGGATGTTTTTGAGAGGGTGACGGAGATGGGTATTGTGGGTGTGGGCAGGATCCCTGGGTGTTCCATGTGGTGAGCTCATAAGGGTTTGAGCTAATTAAAGGTTTTCAGTGGCCTGAGGAAAGTGACCTTGGGTAGAGTCTTCTCCATGTCATAGACTGCTGGTTCATTTACATGTTGATTGGGTCTTGGGGACTGACTGCTAAGCTTGTGGAAAGGATCACACAGTGGCAGTATTTTGTTTTTGTTAGCATATTTTGTAGTCTTATTTTATATGCTCTGAAGTTTATTGTTTGTAGACCCAGAAGTAACAGGGCTCCACAGGATCAATACACATTGAACAAATTCATAAGGGACAGATGTATAAACAAGAAAGTCAGGGCTGGGTGCGGTGGCTCATGCCTGTAATTCCAGCATTTTGGGAGGCCGAGGTGGGCAGATCACCTAGGTTGGGAGTTCGAGACCAGCCTGACCAACATGGAGAAGCCCTGTCTCTACTAAAAATACAAAATTAGCTAGGTGAGGTGACGCATGCCTGTAATCCCAGCTGCTCAGGAGGCTGAGACAGGAGAATCATTTGAACCTGGGAGGTGGAGGTTGCAGTGGGCCAAGATCGCGCCATTGCACTCCAGCCTGGGCAATAAGAGCAAGATTGTGTCTCAGAAAAAAGAAAGTCAGAATGCTGTTTTCAGAGAAAACTGTCATTCAGACCAGACACTTATACTTCATTGGGAAATTATCTTTTTTCCTTTTGAGACAGTTTCTCTCTGTCACCCAGGCTGGAGTACAGTGGCGTGATCTTGGCTCACTGCAACCTCCACCTCCCTGTTTCAAGCAATTCTTGTGCCTCAGCCCCCATGTAGCTGGCATTACAGGCATACACCATCATGCCTGGCTAGTTTTTTGTATTTTTAGTGGAGATGGGTTTAACCATGTTGGCCAGGCTAGTCTTGAACTGCTGACCTCAGGTGATCCATCCGCTTCAGCCTCCCAAGTGCTGGAATTATAGACATTAGCCACTGCGCCCAGCCAATATATGTAAGGTTCTTTAACCAATTGTAGTGACCCAAATTTTTATTCCTGAAGGGTCTGAATCCTCAGTGGATCTGCTTTCTTTGTTAGCTGTAATTTTCTTTCTCTCTTTCTCTTTTTTTTTTTTTTGAGACAGAGCCTTGCTGTATTGCCCAGGCTGGAGTGTAGTGGCACCATCTCAGCTCATTGCAATCTCTACCTCCTGGTTTTAGGTGATTTTTGTGCCTCAGCCTCAGGAGTAGTTGGGACTACAGGTACGTGCCACCACTCCTGGCTTGAGGAGTGACCCCCGGCACTGTAGTCATGGGGGCAGTAGCTTGCCCTGCATCCCCACCTCTTTTTCAGTTCCAAGAAGAGTTGTTAAGTTTTCAGCCTGTTCAGCTTTGGCTTGTGGCTAGGATGGACTGGCAGCTGAACTCCCAGGGGGAGTGGGAAACCAGAATTCTCTCCTGCTGAACCTGGCAAGTCATTCCGGAAGCCCCTGTTGTCAAAGCCTGCTGGGTGACCCAGGAAGGGTTGTTTTTGAAGAGTATATGAATCTTTTTTTTCTTTCTTAAAGCTTTCTGTTGAAATGTCACATAAAGTATGCAAAATGTAAGTACATAGTTCAATAACTAAAAATTATAGGCCGGGTGTGGTGGCTCACACCTATAATCCCAGCACTTTGGGAGGCCGAGGCTGGTGGATCATCTGAGGTCAGAAGTTCAAGACCAGCATGGCCAACATGGTGAAACCCCGTCTCTACCAAAAATACAACAGTTAGCTGAGCACGATGGTGGGTCCTTGTAATCTAGCTACTTGGGAGGCTGAGGCAGGAGAATTGCTTGAACCTAGGAGGTGAAGGTTGCAGTGGGCCGAGTTCATGCAAAGTTCATGCCATTGCACTCTAGCCTGGGAGACAGAGCGAGACTCTGGCTCAAAAAAAAAAAAAAAAAAAAAATTACAGACCCTTCCTAACAAAATACCCACGTCAGGATATAGACCATTAACAAGACCCTGGGAAGGGCCCTCCTGCCACTCCCTCATGACCCCCTCTCAAAGTCAACTTTTTAATAACATCGATTGCTTTTGCCTATTTTGACTTTCATATGAGTGGAATTACACAATACGTACTTTTTTGTGTCTGTCCACAAAGGTCTGCTTCTAGTCTTCTGTCCTAACTGTGGGCAAAGGTTGATGCAGAAAGGTGTGCCTTGTACCCTTGTATAAATAAAAGGAGAAAAAAAAAGTATCTCATTATTGAAATTGTTAAGCATTATGCAATCTCTACTCTGGAATATCAAGTTATTAAAACTGATGTTTATAAGTGTTTTTCAGTGGTTTGTAAAAGTATTTTTAATATTGAGTGAAAAGGGAGTGTTGACTAAATTTTCTTCAATTCTAAAGATAAGAATTTGCTGGAGAAAAATGAACAGCAAATAATTGCAGAGTGTTAACAAATGGTTAAAACTTTGGGTTGGCTGGGATTGTAAGTGATTTTTACCTTCTGCTACCTAACAGACTTTTACATTTTCAAAACCTTAAGTCTTTATTTAAAATAAATATGCATTGCTGTATTTATGGGGAGGGCAGAGAGAATTTTCCTGTACTATCTAGCTGAAAGCTCTGACATGCAATCTTGTCATTGCGTTTGCTTTTATAGGCATTTCCCTGGAAATGGCAGCTGTGACGGTAAAGGAAGAATCGGAAGATCCTGATTATTATCAATATAACATTCAAGGTAATTTGAGTTAATGCAATTTTTCTTTCTAAAAATTATTCATGGTTAAAATTAAAATTTGCTTATCAATTGTTTTAATTTCTTAAATAGCATTTTACTGATCAGTTCTTGATTGACATATCTATTTGTAATTCAATCACTGGGATAAAACATTTTAAAAATGGGGCCATAAGGCTGAGTGTGGTGGCTCACACCTGTAATCCCAGGACTTTACGGGGCTGAGGCGGGCGAATCACCTGAGATCAGGAGTTCGAGACCAGCCTGACCAACATGTAGAAATTCCATCTCTACAAAAATACAAAATTAGCCAGGTGTGGTGGTGAATGCCTGTAATCCCAGCCACTTGGGAGGGTGAGGCAGGAGAATTGCTTGAACCCCGGAGTTGGAGGTTGCAGTGAACCGAGATCTTGCCATTGCACTCTAGCCTGGGCAACAAGAGCGAAACTCCATCTCAAAAAAAGAAAAAAAAAAAAATGGGGCTATCAGATCAACTCAGACAATCCATAGGGGATATGTAAAATAGCCTTTCGTGTTCTTAAAAGGAATATCAAAAGCTGTGGCACAACTTCGCATTCAATTCCAGGTTCTAGTGTTGCAAAATAAACCTATTGGGCAAATGCAGATATAGTCAGCTTAATTTTTTTAATCACTGCATGATTATAATACATTAAACGCTTAAAGGATAAAATCTGGTTAGCTTTGCCACGTACATAACTAATACACCATCTTCATAGCAACCAAGATAATGAAATACCCACATCCCCAAAAGTTTTGTGTGTCCTTGTCCTTCATTGCCCTGTCCAGTATTCAGGCAACATGGATCTGTTTTCTGTTTTAGGATAGTTTGCATTTTCTGTAATGTCTTATAAATGAAATCATAAAATGCAGATTATTTTCTTGAGGCAGGGAGCAGTGTGACTTCTTTGATTTCACATGATTGTTTTCAAGTTCATCCGCAGCGTTGCATGTATCAGTTGTAGATTTCATCTGATTGTTGATTTGTATCATATTGTATGCCTGGGTCAAACTGTTTATCGCTTGTGTGTTGATAGCCCTTTGGGTTCTTCCAGTTTGGGGCCATTACAAATACGGGTACTATGAACATTTGTGTACGAGCTTTTGTGTGGACATAAGCCTTCATTCCTCTCTCTCTCTCTCTCTCTCTCT